TCAGGGACCAAAGTAATACAAGTCCCAAACTATAGGAATCGTTAATATAATTCACCCTAAAATATGACTTAAAATAGTTATTGTTTTCACTTATTTTTCAAATAAAGTTTTATTTATGCACAATTGATTGAAAATACAAAATATATAAATTTTTACGTAGATGACAAAATTACCATTTAGGTAAATTATAAACACACATAATTTTCTAATGCTAACCGTAAATTGAACGGTTCAATCTGTCTAAGTAGTTCAACTCAAAGATATTAATGTCAAATTAGAGATTTTATCTATTTATATCCATGGGATAGACATTGGTTAACAAAATGATTTATGTTAAAAATATTTCTATATACGTGTAGGCAATATTTATATATTTATATTTTTAGTTATGTATATAAAATGTTGGTTTATAGTACTGGATTGAACAAAGAAAATAGTATTAGATGGAATTGGGCAAAGACAGGTTAGCACCAGTGTTTTAAATGGCTCTAGGTGCACCAAGGTGATAAGGTCCCCTATAGCCTAAGCACGATTCGAGGCGAGGCAAGGTGAGATGCGCGTGCCTCACCGAAGCAAAGTGCAAGTAGTAGAAGAAAAGAAAAATTATAAAAAGGCAAACTTTTTCAACATAACAAATATATATAGAATTTCAAAAATTATAACCATTTTCGATAATCTTTAAACATAACATTCAATCTTCTAAAAATTAGAAATATAATATCCAACAAAAGATATAAATCAAAATATTCAATCTTTTATCACTTTCTACTATCTTTTGACCAGATTTGGTCATTTTGTATTGAAGATTTTTGAATCTCTGTGGGTATGCTTACAAAAAAAGCACTTAATAGTTGGAGTAGAAAAATAGGTAAAGCCCATGAAGTCCATGCCTTGTGACTCAAAAAAGCCCTCGCTTCAGTGCCTAAGCTGCGCCTTGCGTATTGTGCCTCACCTTGACTTGTTTGAAGCGTAAGGCTGCACCTCATTGCACCTCATTGCAAGCCTTTTAAAACAGTGGCTAGCACAAATGTCGTTCTATTCAGTTTGTGACCAACTAAAGTTACGTCTAACCTTGAGTTTATATTTTCAGAAAATTGCGCATTAGTGGGGCAAACTAAAATTTGTTTCTCTATATTTGAATCGCTTTGGATGCAAGTCTGATGCAAGCAAAGATTTGCATCCAATACAAAATTGACTTGCACCAAATATAAGACAAACTTTCACCCCATAAATTAGGATTTTTTTAAATCCGTTTTCTAATTGATTTGAGATTCTCTCATATTTTTAATAATCGACCAAATTTTAACCTTGCACTACATGTCTAACCATTCTATAAATTACACAAATCTCTTCCCAGATAAACTATTCAGTGATATCATTTACAAGAGGTTAGCTTAGTTAACAAGGATAAAGAGCATAATATATGATTGGGTACAGATTCTAACAAAGTTTAGTTAGAGGTTGATTGTAGGGTTGAAAATTGTAAGGGTAATTGGGAAATGAGCAATAAAAAAGTGTGGTTGAAGAAGGAAAATTAGAAACGAGAGTTGAAAGTGAATAACGAGTGGAGCGAAATGATTTAGAGGTGAATTTTATTATGCAATTTTAAATCGTAAATTTTAATTTTTATGTCTTTTGAGAAAATCTAATGTAAAAGTATATATATTTAACTTTTATGCTAAATGTAATTTTTATATTTCATACAATTTTTTTGCTCTAAAATGTTACTAATCTATTACTTAATATTTAAAATAAAATATTATTGATAACACAATTGAAACACGACTTTAGGGGTTGTTTGGAATGTTCTAAATAAGTGCACCTTTTGACTTTTTATGAAACATGGATCGAGTATGGGTTGGGTTCGAAGTGATGTGATAGAGAGATGATGTGACTTAAATAAGATGATGTGACTTAAATAGAATAGTGACTTTTTAGTTTTTTGGCTTTTTTAGAGGATGACAAACAAGGCTTAAGAAAATATCTTATTCATATAATTTAAACTACTTTTTACTTTTAAATTCTAAAATTATTACTTTAATTTTTAAGATAAAATTTTAATTATTTATTTACGATCGTGTTTACCGCTAGTATATTTATATGTATGTATGCATGTATGTATGTTTAAGTTCTTCTGACTGACTCAAATCTGTACTTTTTATCTGTCTTTCCTAATTGAGAAACAATTATTACTTTGGCATCAAACTTGTAAATAAAGTGTTATCGACAAAGATTCCTAATTCATTCACTTATTCCATCAAAGAAAGTGTTACCGGTCTACTCATTCTACTATTGTTTCTGGTGATTTCGGACTCCTTAGACAATTATCGACATTGTTTGTATCTTGTGAGTTTTCCATTATTTATTCCACTTGAAACGCGCACACATACAATTTTGTATTTTAGTATTTCCATGTTTGTAAATTCTATGTGTACGTAGTCCGTGGCAGTTATCTCTATATTGTTATGATATATATATAATCAATACCAAACTCTAGGACTTGAGCAAACAACGAATCTAGAACTATGAAGTAAAAGAATAGAAAATCAAACTCACAAAAGTAACATAAGAGATTTACGTGGTTCACCCAAATTGCAGGCTACGCCCACGGGGTCGCTTGAATTTACCAAGGGTCTCTCACACTAAATCTCACAAACACTCTCTCTATAATGATCTATCTCTCATCTTCACTCTCATCTTCACTATTGTGTATTTCTCTCTAAGATCACAAAACTAATGAATCATAAATATAGAGGTATATGGGTGTATTTATAGGATAACCTCGAACCCAATCCTAAATTAATAAGGAAATCAAAACCTAAATGAACAAGGAAAACCTTAACTAATAAAGAAATAGTTGAGAGTCCAAATCTAACCAAATACTAATTTTTTTATTTTGTTTCCTAATTTGATTAGGTTTAGTCTTGTTTCAGGATCCATCAATAGCCTATGTTTCACGGACTCGGCAGAAGTGTCGGACACAGATACGTGTCTAAGAGTCGGATTCTCCATTTTCTTTGATTTTAGGATATGGGGACACCGATAAAAAGTTGGACACGAGTACGAGGATACATTTATTTATATATATATTTTAAAAATATATGAAGGAAATTCCATATTTAATATGTAAAAAAAAATAAAGAACAGTTGATTCAGGGATGGTAGTCCCACATAATAACAGATAGGAAAGAACTTCTATCTGTTGGTATTTCCATAATAATACTAAAAAAATATATAAAATAAAATTAAATAGAAATGACAAAACAATTATTTTATTATTATTAAAGAATGAAGTACAGAATAAATTACAGAATTAAAAATACAGGAATGATTGAAATCTGGATATTACAACTTGAAGAATAGGAATATTAGACAAAACAAATAATTAATAAAGACGGAAAAGAAGGCAAACCGAAGCTTGTGGTAGCTACAGTTTCCTTAAAATAGATTTATCGCCTCATCAATGGGTGCTGGAAATATGCCGGCATCTATTGTCTCCCAAAATATCATGGTAGAAACCAGTTAGAGCAGAAGCACCTTTTGAATAGCTTCGGCGAACTTGACAATGACAGCACTCTTTCTCTAACAAGAACCAAAGAAATGGCTAGCAACCAGAAGATAGGAAATTTTTGTCTTTGGTGTAAAAATCATCTCCAACTTCATTATTTGAAAACGCCATCTCATTTTTCATCTAAAAAATCTCTCCAAAGAAATCCTACTAAGTTGAAGGGAAAAGGCTTTATACAAGTATGGGAGTCCCTAGCCATGGCTATGAAGGCTACCATCATGAGGGCCATCAAATGCCATTAACCAAGGCCATCAACTCTAGCCATTAGGGTTAGACTTGCAAAGATTAGAAACTCATGACCACTAATATGATGATCAACTCTGTCATTAAAAGATTAAAAGATCAGAGTTCACAAAAGTCTCAAACTCCCATGTGTTTAATATATGTAAATAAATATGTATATAATGGTGTTTGAATAATTCAAACATATGGGTTGCGAAACAGGTACGGATGTTGGGTCACAATCTGATCCAAGCCCAATTTAAAACAAATGCACAAGCTAAGCTCAACACAGCACAGCTCAGCCCAAGCTGAAGACTAGGTCTAAATCCAAGTCAAAGACCAAACCTAGCACATGCACATGCACATGCACAAGCACAAGCCTAGGCCCAGTCCAAACTAAGACTAAGACCAATTAAGCCCAATTTTTATTGATTCCCACTTTATGAGACAATTCTCATTCACAACCTAATAGTTTCGGCTCATCATTTCTGTATTGTAATCTTCTTACTTAAGAGAATACAACCCCAATTGGACCTAACTCAATTGATGGTTGGGTCCCACTTTAATTTCGAATTAAAATTGTCGAAAAATCATTATTTTCTAACAATCCCTCACATGAATAAAATTGGCCGAATAAAGAAAAATAGACAATGTTTAACAACAAAGACTCGGAGAGAGCACACAGATTAACCCTACATTAGAAAAGGTATCTGTAGGTCTTGAACCTTTCGTAGTGAAAGTCTTATCGGATTTACTGATTTACTGATTGACCTATGAACGTGATGTTTTGAGCTGTTTTGTCGTTTGTGTAAACCGAGACAATAGACCTCACAAAGGAGTTACTTTAACCATCGTTTTGTTGTCACTGTTGTGTCTTGTTTGGCCCTGTAACACTTGCCTAGTTCAATGAGTGTTTTTAAATAATTCGGCTTTGTCAATTTTTAAAGAAGCGGCCCCACTTCGCAATCATATAGGTGACTTACATAAGGTATCTCGCTATACCATGGCTGACTATTCAAATCAAACAGGTCATTAAAAGTATCAGCTTAATCTTTCACCCCACAGGGTATCATTGTATAAAGAAATGGCAAGAGGATTTATTTCTTCAGTGACTCAACTGTTACACGCAATTAGGTTGTCCCTTTGACCTTAGATCTTAGAATGACCTTTGACCTTAGATCTTAGAATCTCTAGTCAACTAGGTTGGAAAACGCAATTAGGTTGTCTCTTTGAACCTAGATCTTGGAATCTCCAGTCAACTAGGTTGGGTTTTCCATTATGGTAACTCTCGCTAAAGGCCTTAACCCCATCCCTTTTGACCACTTTTCTACTAACTTTTGATTTAACCCTTTGTTTAACGGATCTACAATGTTGTCTTTAGACTTTACATAGTCTATAGAGACAACTTCATTAGAGAGTAGTTGACGTATGAAATTATGTTTACGACGGATATATCTAGACTTTTCATTATACATATTACTCTGTATCCGTCCAATCACCGATGGGCTATTACAATGAATACAGATAGCGAGCACAGATTTCAGCCAACGTGGAATATCTTCAATGAATTGGCACATCCATTCAGCTTTTTTTGTTGTTTTATCCAAAGTAATAAATTCAGATTTCATCGTTGATCTTGATAAACACGTCTGCTTGGAAGATTTCCAAGACACAGCTGGCTCTCCAAAGGTAAACACATAACTACTAGTGAATTTAGAGTCCTTTATGTCAGATATTCAATTCGTGTCACTATAACCTTCTAGCACTGCTGGGTATTTGGTGTAATGCAGCCCATAATCTCGGGTGTAGCATAAATAACCCAACACTCGCATAATGCCCTTCCAATGAGTAGCATTAGGATTACTCGTATATCTAAGCCTGTTAATTGAGTAGGCTATATGTGGCCTTATATAGCTCATCAGATGCATCAAACTTTCAGCGACCCTGGAATATTCTAGCTTGAGAGATATTCTCACCATTATTCTTGGCCAAACGTAGACTCAAAGTCTACCAGTGTCCTTGACACACTTGTATTTGATTTACCAATTTTCTCAAGTATTTTATCAACATAATGAGACTGAGGAAGTACAATACCACCAGATGTTTTGGTAATCTCAATACCCATAATCACATTTGCAAGGCTCATATCTTTCATGCCAAATTTAGAATTTAACAACTTCTTGGTAGTTCTAATCATTTCATTATTACTACCAACAATGAGTATGTCATCAACGACATAACCTCTGTCAGTGTTTTTGACATATACACATTTTTCACTTATTGATTCTAAACCCATTTGACAACATAGCGTTGCCAAACTTCTCATGCCATAATGTAGGGACTTGCTTCAAACCATACAATGATTTAACAAGCTTACAGATTTTCTCATGTTACCTTGGAGCTAAAAACCCCTCGGGTTGCTCCATATAGATTTCTTCATCTAAGTTTCCATTTAAAAAAGTTGTCTTTACATCCATTTCGATGCATCTCTAGACTTCGCACAATTGTGATCAGACTCACCATAATTGGTGATCACATATCAAAGTAATCCAAGCCTTCTCTTTGCCAGTATCCTTTGATAATAAGCTTGTCTCATCAGCTATCATTCACTTGCATCCCAGGTCTTCCTACCTATGCAGGATAAAATTAAATTAATAACTTCTTTCTAGGGAACTTGCAACTTCAAAGATGCTTTTAGCCTCACTAGCCACCATATAGGTTTAAAAAGATTAGACAGAAAAACTTTAAAGTCCTAGCCTTTTAATATCTTCTTGGCTCATCTCTTTTCTCATAAAAACGGCTTCCTCAATTCCATGATGGTATTCCTGTGTAAATCTAAATTTCGGTTTTTCTAAATTTCACAAGAAACGATATGCACTAATATATTGTGCATAACCGTTGAACACAAAGTCAACGGACTTTAGGCCTATCCTAATCCTCTTGGGTTTAGGTATGGTTACATTTTGCATGACACCTCCATATTTGTAGAATTTAAACGAAGGTTTTCGGCTTTTCCAAAAATTCATATAGGGTCTTTATATAATACCTTATATCACAATGATTATGAGACTATCAAAATCATATTTCCGAATAATATTTGCAGACCGTCATCAATCAAATTAGGTCTTTTCAGAATTCAAGGCACTAAACCCTATTTGGTCCAACCTGTCACTCTGAAGCCAATAGCCTTACTATAAGGAAACACAGATCCAATGTTCAATAATTTACTATTCGGAACTTCATAACATGGCCAGTAGTTTTATAACTAGGAATTACTAATTTCTCAGCATGTGGTCAGTAGGCTTTTCACTACTAGGAATCACATCTTGACATGTGATCAGTAGTCACTCCACTATTAGGAATCACAATGTCTTGACATAGGATCAGTAGATTCTTTCATTATTAGGAATCATGTCTTAACATGTGATTAGTAATCTGTTCACTACTAGGAACAACAATCTCATAACTGCATAGCTAGTGATCTAACACTTCTTAGGAATCATGTCTTGCACGTACTAGGAGCCACAAATTTAAGAATATATTCAGAATTATAAAAATTCAGAAAATATATTCACCCACCCCAACGGGTTGCCTCATCTTTGCATTTAAACAGAGTCATATAGCAATCACACGTGCTAATTGACACAAGGATAACATATTAATTGCCTCGGATTAATAACTAAAAATTAGTCACCTTAGACAACGTAACTGCCTTTTTGACAAAACTTTACATTGTTAATTGAGAAATGTTATCCTGCAATTTTATGATCTCATCTAATCACACTTGATCTTTCTTGATATTCCTTTAAGAACCTCGCAAGGCATAAGGTTGTTAGGTGGAACATCTTTTGTTGTCATCTCTTGAAGCCATTTTTAAAAACTACAACAGAATTTCAACTATTCTATTTCTCCAAGAACCAAATTAACACTAGGAAATCTCAAAATCTCCCCACTAACTTCAGAATCAAACAAGATCAAGAAAGTTTACAGAAAGACTGGAGGGGTCACAACGGTTCCATTTAAAACCCAGTTAACTTCAGACAAAACCTTCAAGAGCTTGACTCATTGTCAATGGGAAACAAATTCAAAATTAAGTTTCTAGGGGATAAATGAGGTTAAAAAAACGATTCCAAGCAAAAAAAATTTACTACCAAAAATACACCACTCATAAAAGTTAATCGGTACTCTCATAACTGAGCCCATTATTTCTGAATAAAAATAAAAAATATTTTAGCTATTGCTAAAATTTGGTTTCTTCTCCCAAAACCAAAGTACTTCGGAAATAATCAGATTATAACCAAAGACTTTCTCAAAACTTCATCAAATCCCAAAGGTTTGCAACCTATGAAAAACCAAATTTGCCTCAGTTGCCATTTCTGAATACATTGAAAAATCTAGAAACCTCCTAGATGTTGATTTGTGATTATGTACCAATTTTAAGCAGAATATAACAATCCCAAACAAACAATCAAAGACAAATCGACACAACGATTTTACGTGAAAAAACCACAATTGGACACCTCCAACTGTGATAAAAAAATCACGGGCAACAGCCACAAGACAATCCACTAAGAAGAATTAAAGGAATTACACAGGTATGCTCTCAATTACCTAGCGAATCCACAACGCCTAATTGAACCAACCTCTATGTGCCTCTTCCAACCCCATCTTTACCTCGGAATTGTCTTTCCAAAGAGCCACTCCAGGATTCACCGAAACTTCAGGCTCGAATTCTTCAGACTCCACCGAAGAACAACTCTCTTTTTGTGTATAACAAACCAACCCTTTGATGTACTCTCTTTAAACCATGAGTTGAATACTCAATAAAAACATCAAAAAAACTAGCAAAATATCTCCAGATATAAACCTTAAGATCCAAAAAGAAGATCTGGAGAAGTTCCTTTAGTGTTGGGAGAAAACCAACTATTTATAGAAAACCAAAGCAATCCTAGTTTCAGAAGAAAACCAGCTCCTTAACAAATCTGGAAATCTGGGATCGCGCGGTCCGCTCGAGCGTGGGTCGTCCCGCTCGAGCGGAGTCTTCAAATTCTGTGATTTCATACAGGCTCCACGCTCGAGCGTCAGTTTCCACGCTCGAGCGTCGAATCACACCATCCAGTATTTTTTCAGGCATAGCAGAGATACTGTGAGCTTGTAAACCCTGCTCGAGCGCCCTTTTCCCCGCTTGAGCGGGAAGGCCAAAACTGGAAAAAACTGGAAAAGTATAACATAATCGGACAGGCAACTTTGAATGCATTTTTGCATTTTGTTTCGGGCTGCGAGCTGACCGGGTAATAATCAGCTCGACCCCCGTAATAATCAGCGAAGTGGCAAACTTGTATACATTGACATCACAAACTTCTCAGCAAAGCACGATTCAGGTTGGATTCGCATCTAAACACTCATAGCCTCACTGAAATAAAAGTGCGAAAAAAAAATTACAACTCAGGAGTTTTGTCAAACGGGATTGCCAAGAAATAAAACCTAACACAAATCATAAATACCTTTTTAGCCAACGCTAAAATTTGGTTTCTTTATAGAAAACAAACACTTTGGGAATAATAAAATTAATCCCAAAGACTTTTTCAACAAATCCGAAGGTTTATAATTTCTTTTCTTTCCCTTTTTTTTTCCCCTCACTATGGTAAACTTTCACAAATTATTAATTAAAACTACTACAAATTGAAATGCAACTATTACAATTGTAAATTGTCCAAACATGCAAGATTTGAGTTCACGGGATGATCTGTTTAGCCAACACTATACTTCTCCACCTATAATGCTTATCTTTGTATAAAATACATTACAAAACTCTATCCTCGTTCTTGCTAAATCTCAATACTCACTGTTTATATACACACTTAGATACAAGACGAGTTAATGAACTAGTTAAAGTGAATATTACAAAAATAATTTCAGCTATAGCTCTCATTGCTTAATTCAAACGGCTATAAATGCATTGTAGTTACAAGAATGTCATGAGTTGCATGGCTATGAATCAAATATACATATGGAAATATTATGGTCATAATGTTGGCATTCCAACCATCCAACTATGAGCAAATATATTAAATAATAGATTTAAACTTCCATGAATATAAAAATATTTTGGAGTAATTTCCTTGATTCACTACAACGTTTTCTTAGTTTAGTGACATTTGAAAGTGTCACAAAATTATTGGTTTAATGACATTTTTTAGTCTTGTGGCATTTTGAACAAGTGTCATTTGTATCCGTGTCACAGTAGATACTTGCAAGTGTCACTACACCATCATGGCTTTTCAATGACATTTTGATGTCATGGTAGATATTATTTGTGGCACTATCAAGCGTCATTAAAAAAAGAGTTAGTGATACTTATAAGTGCCATTACACCATCAAGACTAAAACTTTTCAGTGACACTTTAATGTCATGGTAGGCACTATTCGTGACGCTATCAAGTGTCATTCGTGACGATAATTCGTTGTAGAACAATTTGATCCGCTCTTGCGGAGACTCGAACCGCCAACCTCCCGCACCATAAATCTTATACACCACACTCTTCCCACTACACCTCTATAGCACCAATGCAACATATATTATTTATATAGTACATACATCCATATTATTGGGAAAGTATATGTATAAACATAATTATTTTATTGAACATAATTTATGTAAATTAAACTATTTACTAGAAAAATAAAAAAAGACCACTTTTGGCGACTAGAAAAATTTTTTAGATGCCAAATCTATACTTTTGGCTACTAATTGTTTTTAGTTGCTAAAAAACTAAACTTTTGCCGACCAAAATCGGATTTGGTCTCCAAAGATGCATTTTCAGCTACCAAAATTTTGGTCGCCAAAAAATTTAATTCCCGCCTTAGGATTTTAGTTCTCCCGCGCTAAAAATGACCACTTTTGGAGACTAAACTTATTTTTTAGTCGCCAATTGTAGACTTTTGGCTACTAAAATTTTTTTAGTCACCAAAAAGCTTTACTTTTGGCTACTAAATTTTTTTTAGTCGGTAAAACCCATATAATCAGCAACCAAACTTATTTTTAGTCGCCAATTGTAGACTTTTGGCTACTAAATTTTTTGGTCAAGAAATTTAGTCGCCGAATATGCTTTTTCCTGTAGTGTATATTGAGTTAAATTTATTTATTTTTAATCATTTACTGCATTTTAAAAATTTAGAAAATATATTGGCATTTTTTGTTTTTTTCAAAAATGGCATTATAAGCTTGGAAAGTTTTTGGCTTAGTTGCATTTCTCAAAATGCTATAAAATATTTGTTTATGACACTTTTCACCAAAGTGCCATAAAAAGTAATTTGCACCTACCTAGTGTCCTAACATTTTTAAAAAATGCCATTGTTACTAAAGTTTAGTGGCATCTTTTGGTAAATGTCAAGAACATAATTTTTTGTGTCATTATTTTATAATATGCCATAAAATTGATGTGACATTTCTTTATTGAAATGCCACTAGAGCTTTATATGTTTGTGGTTCTGTGACATTTTTCTAAAACATTTAATGGCAATTTTTATTTTTCTGACATTTACTAAAAACATGCCACTAGTGTAGTGTCACTAAAGTGTAAATTTGTTGTAGTGACATTTTTGTTGTAGTGAAGTGACACTTTTTTTAATTGAAATGTCACTAGAGCCTTGTATGTTTGTGGCTCTATGGCATTTTTCTAAAAAATGCCACCAAATATTCTTTTTTGTGACATTTTTTAAGAACATGCCACTAGTATGGTGTCACTAAAATGTGTTTTTGTTGTAGTGATTACACGTCAAACATGAAATGACTCAAAAAATAAATAGAATGAATAAGAGTTAATGTCATTACAATGCCAAGTTATAGCACCATGCGATAATGCAACATAATCATAAGCAAGCACAGTAATAAGACTATTATACTAGAAAAACCAAAACTGTTTCACTAAATTTTCTTCCAAAACAAACCTGTTTGGAGATATTTTATACCATCGGAAACCTTCCTGACTAGACGAATATCTGAAGTTTTCAAAATGAAAAATCTATCTCTTTTATTTTTCCAGAATTTAATTAATCAAAAATAACGAATTACAAACAAACAAATTAATACGTGGATTGAATCCGAAATAATTCTCCACAACAAAGCGAATAATTAAGTTCACAAGTATGTCCAAAAATCCGAAGGTCCAATATTTGTACAATCTATGCGTAGGTAATCCTGTTTCAAAACAAAAATTAGTCCCAATTTATTTGTTTTGTTTTGTTTATTTGTATCCTGCTTTCATGCTTAGGTAAACCTATAGAAAAAGTTAGCTACAAAACAAATAACAAACAAATCAAATAAATTAGAAATAATCTTAAGAAATAAAATTCTTATTTTATTTTATCAACTATTAAAAACTCATGTACTAATAACCAAATAACTCATGCAATAACAACTAATTAACATAAAATATATTGCATGAATAAATTACTAGAAATAAACAACTCAAATTCAATAACTCTAGGCAATTAAATTAATTTTAGTTCCAAGAGTCACTAGAATAAAACTATAATAAATACTAAATTGTTTTATTAAAAATTATTTATAAAAATCAGTTTTAAGATTGTTGGTATTTTTCTATAATAATACTAGAAAAATATATAAAATAAAATTAAATAAAAATGACAACAATTTTTCTTTATTATTAAAGAATGAAATACAAAATAAATTACCGAACTAAAGATACTGAATGATTGAAATCTGAATATTACAACTTGAAGAACATGATTATTAGGAAAAAACAATTCTGAAATAAAATAATTAATAGAGACGGCAAAGAACGTAAATCGAAGCTTGTGGTAGCCACAATTTCCTTAAAACAGATTTGCTGCCTCACCATGTTTGCTGAAGGTATGCTGGCGTCTCTTTCCTAGGATGCGATGGTCGAAACCAGCTATAGTAGAAGTACCTTCTGAATAGCTTCGGCGAACTTGACAATAGCAACATTCTTTAACAAGAATCAAAGAAAGGGCTAGCAAAAAGAAGATAGGAAAATTTTTCTTTGGTTTAAAAACTATCTCCAACTTTATTCTTTCAAACCGCAATATCATTTTCCATATCAATAATCTCTCCAAAAACATCTTACTAAGGTGAAGGGAAAAGGCCTTTATTTATACAAGTACGGGAGTCCCTAGCCATAAAGGCTATCATCATGAGGGCTATCAAATGTCATTAACCAAGGCCATCATCACTAGCCATTAGGGCTAAAGTTACAAAGGTTAAAAACTCATGGCTGCTAATATGGTCATCAGCTCTATCATCAAACGATGAGAGTTTACAAAAGTCTAAAGCTCCTATGTGCTTAATATATACAAATAAATATGTATATAATGATGTTAGAATAATTCAAACAGATGGGTCGCAAAATGGATATGGATGTTGGGTCACAACCCGATCTAATCCCAATCTAAAACACATGTACAAGCTAAGCCCAACACAGCACAGCCAATCCAAGCTCAAGACTAGGTCCAAATCCAAGTCTAAGACCAAACCCAATATCTGCGCAAGTACAAGCACAAGCAAAAGCCTAGACTCAGTCCAAACCAAGACTAAGTTCAAATCTAAGCCCAACTTTATTGATGCTCACTTTATGAGACAATTCTCATTCACAACTTATGGTTTCGGCTCATCATTTTTGTATTGTAATCTTTTTACTTAAGAAAATACAGCTCCACTCGGACTCACCTCAATCGGCAATTGGGTCCCACTTTAATTTCGAATTAAAGTTGTCGAAAAATTATTATTTTCCAACACTATCCATATTGACAAGAACCAATAGATCATAGAACGTAAATTGCCTGATGAGTTTGTTTTTAAATGGAATGTTCATTATGATGATAAGTAGTCAATTAGGAGCCGGATAAGCAAGTGCGAAAATAAAAGTTTGTATAAATACGAAAATTGAAACTCATTATCTTGCGCTATTTGTTGAGGAACTAACAAAAAATAAGCCGAGTTATTTCTTCTTCCAAGCCAGAGGGTTCTTGATGTAGAATGTTTGGTTGTAGAATGTTTGGTCATAGAGTTTCTGGAACTCATGGACAAACGAGACAAAGGCAAAAGGCACTAGTAATAATTAATAGTAATAAAACCTGCAATAAAAATCTAATGGATCAAGACTTGGATGATGGATTGTCTTATAAAATCTCGTGAGAATGCCAACAAATTTACTCATTCAGGTATCCTGTTCTAGTTGGAAGATGAAGATTTAGATTATTTGTGAGGTGTCACCAACAAAGTGACAAGCATCTTGAATATGGCTTTTACGGGCCTGTTTGGTATCATTTTTAATTTTTTGTTTTTTGTTTTCATTTTTGGAGAACATATAAAATGTGTTTACTGAACTATATCTAAAAATGTTATAGGGGGAAAAAAAAAAAATCTAAAAACAATCCATATCTTTGGAAATACAAAATTTAAAGTTTTTGAATTTTCAACTTTTTTTGTGCAAAAATGAAAGTGATAGGTATTTTTTTGAAAATTTTCATTATTTTTGTTTAAGAATAGGCTCTAATTGTTTCCAATACTTAAAGGATGAATAAATCACTTAGGTTGGTTTTTTAAGGCAAAGTTTCACATGCTTAATGTTGAATCAAAGGATCTAAGTTTCGATTATCAACCAAAGTCGTTATAGTTTGAGAATGATGAAAGAATGTTGTTATGCAAAGTTAAAAGACTTTTCCACGTAACTAATGGAAAATAAAAAATTTAGAGACCCTCGGGATATTGATTCGTGATTATGTTTTAATTTTAAACAGATACCAAATTCTAATCAAACAATCAATAACAAATCGGCTTAATGATTTAAATGATAAAAATCACAGGCAAAAGCCACAAAACAATCCACTAAGAAGACAGAAAGGAATTACACACGAGTACCTTTTTGACTATTTGATGTTTTAGTGACTTTTTGATGTTTTATGAAAATACGTGTAGAAAAAGTAGAGAGGAGGAGTTGACTGTGTAATTACTTTTTGACTATTTTGTTAAGTTGCCAAACCAGCAGTGTCTATGAAAGTGATATCCCTGATTAAATGGTCGTTAAGGTGTTTGCCCATTTAAATTTTAGGCTACTTATAAAGTTGATCTATGAATGAAAAATAAGTATTTCTTGATTAATAGGAATCTAATAGTTTTGAAGAAAAGTATGACAATGCTTTCTACCCTTCTGAATTCAATTGTTACTGGTTCAATCTATTATTACACTACAATATTTGTCTTTTCTCCAAATGAATTCTGATGCAGGGGAAAGAACATTTCTAGAGGTAAAATTATTGTATGTTCTATAATATTCTAAATTGGTAATTGTCGAACAAGAAAATAGAGTATAAAAATTGACCAGGACTTGGTGGGTGACATTGACTACCTTAAATAGGTGGCATATTTGATTTTGGCACATTGGAATTCATTTTTATGACAACTTAGTGTTTTGTTTGGAACAGGGTACTAGATTGCTTCTTAAGTAAATGGCGTTGCCGTTGAGTGGTGGAAAAGATTTTGTTTCGATGAATATTTATAAAATGCTTGAACGTTTCTCCCATCCACCAACGGAGTTTTGTATATTTAGATTACATGAAGAACTACGTCAGTTAAACGACAAGGCCTATGACCCAGAGATTATTTCAATAGGTCCTTACCACCTTGGTAAGCAAAACCTACAGATGATGGAGCGGCACAAGTTATGCTATTTTCATTCACTTCTTCAAAAAAAAAATCAGAGACCAGAAGAATATGTCGATGCTATTAGATCACTAGAACAAGATGCAGCACGTCAATTTTATGCTGAACCTATAAGCCTTGATTCAGATGAAATGATCACAATGATGGTACTGGACGGTTGCTTTATCATTGAATTGTTGCGGAAGTTTGATATGGAATTCTTGAGAGATCAGAATGATCCTATTTTTAAAAGGGACTGGATTTTTAAAAGGTTGCAGCGCGATTTAATGTTATTTGAAAACCAAATTCCGTTCTTTATACTGTGCAAGTTATTTGATATGATCGAGGCACCAGGCAACCATAAGAGGCTCATTTATTTGGCCTTGAGATTTTTTAGTGATCTTTTACCAGGTACCGGTAAAAGGGGTAAAAGGGAAGATGGAAAGGAGCCACACAGTAAGATCTGTCATTTACTCGGGTTGATACACCGTAACTGGCGCCCATCATTTGCAGGGTTGGAGCCTGTTGAAGATGCCTCAAATAAAGAAGGAAAAGGGAACTGGCGATTTATTCCTAATACAAGAGAGCTCCAAGAAGCTGGAGTTAAGATAGAGAAGTTTGAGGTTACAGGAGGTAGCTTGTTTGATATCAAGTTCAAAAGTGGGGTAATGCAGATTCCACCTGTAACCATTGAAGGCAGGACAGAGTCATTCTTCAGAAACCTCATTGCATACGAGCAATATAGTCCTGATAACCAACTCAGTTATGTCACTGATTATGTGAAATTTTTAGATTGCCTCATTGACTGTGCAAAGGATGTCAAAATACTTTCTCGTTGTGGTATCATCGATAATTGGTTAGGTGATGATGAAGCGGTTTCCAACTTACTTAACAAGATTAGTGACACGGTCTCGGGGACAAGCACGCATTTCCAGTATGCTGATATCTTCAACAGGGTGAACATCCATTGCAACCAGCCCTGGAATCTGTACAGGGCAACTCTGAAACGGAATTATTTTAATAACCCGTGGGCAATGATTGCAATTATGGCTGCTTTGGTATTACTTCTACTCATTTTGACACAAACTGGATTTACGGTTTTTGGTTGGAAATTGTAATTGTCGGAGCGACAAAATAGATGGTCACAACTTATTGGTGAGAGTATCAGTGTGCTCTTCTTTATTGTCTTTAAACTCTCCGTTTGTAATTACTTCGACAATATTCATACATATATGTATATGTGTATGTTTGCTTTGGATATTGATTTGCTCTTCAGTGAATTGTTCTCTTCTCCTCTCTTCCCTTTTTGTTATTCATTCTCTTCTGTTTTGTGTCTGCTTTATATATTGATTTGCTCCGGTGGATGTTTTTTTTTTTTTCCTCATTCTCGTCTGTTGCTTTAATATGTAAACTAAATAAATATAGAAAAATCCATCCCTAATGACATGGAGTAGGCCATGTGATGGAATAGACCATGTGAAGGGGGCCTCCTTTTCTATCTCTCTCTCTTCTTTCTCTCACTTTATTACAGGTCAAAATAGGGATAATGTATTAGAAGATGTAGAACCACTTATTTATGACACAGTTAACCTATTCATTTATGTAATTTACTACTTTGGCAACAACTTTTACGCCTTTACAATCCTAATATTTTGGTTATTATGCTAAGTGATGTTAAAGTGTCGTTTGTTCTGAGGTGAAGAAGCTTAGGTTATGTACTTGTTATATTGTTTGTGAACATTTTGGTATTTTTAACAGATAGGTACAAATAGGCTGGGTGAATTTCAACAGATTGAGGCAAATAGACTTGGTGAATTTTAACAGATAGGAAAAGGTAGGTTTGGTGAATTTCAACAGATAGATGCAAAATTTGAACAAATAAGTTCAAAAAATTTAATAGATAAAATAAAGTTTAGAACAGATAGGTTAAAATAAAAATTTCAGTGGTAAATGTCCTTTTGACCAACAAATATTTTTATGGCTCTAATAGTTTTTTGCCCTTATCCTTAATGACGTACCAGGTGGAAATATAGATTTATCACCATTTTTTTTTTTACTTTATTTATTTATTTTTTTTAGATGTGCAAAACCTAGATGCACTTAAAAACTAAATATTTGTGAATAAATAAATAAATAAATAAATACATAAAAATACAAAATATATTGAAGTTTTGTAAATTTTTTTTTTGGTTGTATTTAGTGAATGTTTTAAAGAATGATTTCACAAATATTATACTTTATTTATATTATATGCATCTAAAATCTAAAAAATAAAAACATTACTTAAATATTAAAAAAAATATAAACCCTCCCAAACAGAAAAGGGTTTATTATACTTTCTACCTCCAAATGATCATTAAATTATCTACTTAATCTCTAAACTATTGATTGAGTCTAGTAAGTTACTAAAGCATATATATCAAAATCTATTTAATTCATAAATTATCGATTGAATCTGTTAAGTATCTAGACTATTTTAATTCAAACACATTTACTCCCTGAAATGATTAAGCAAATAAAATACATGTCCATAATTATTATAAATTAGTAAAATACCCTACATAGTTAGTATTTTGTTTAAAAAAAAACTTAAATTTATTTATCTTTAAAAAGTGTTTTATTTCGCTTTGTGTTTAAATTAATATCAAATGCTGATTTATCAGTCTTACCAATAAAATTATATGAGTATTAGATATATTAAAGAAGTAAAATTAGATAATTTAAATAATAAGATTTTGCTACAAATAATAATAAAAAATAATATATTAATTAAATTATAAAAAAAAAATTAGTGAAAAATTTAAAGACAATGATCTTCGGATCGGGCGAGAGGGGGTGCTCATAGCTGACCTTCCCCAATCGTACCCAAGCTCCCGAGCCGAGGCAACTTTGGTGATGACGGACACGTGGCCTTTGGCACCGAGTCAGGGTTTCTTAAATTCCCCCATAAAAAATATTTAGGTGGCGACTCTGTATTTGGCAAAGCAGTTCATGTTTGGCACTTCTTTTCTAAAAATCTGTTTTTCTCAAAACGATTTGCCGGATTTGGACTCTTTGGTTCATATTAAGAACCGTGACAGTTTGAGAGTCTTGAACTGTAGTGACCCACAAAACGAACAGAACGGGGACTCACCCTCTCGGGGCGTTCGGGGACGTCTACACATACAAAAACCAACACTTATATACAGATGTGGTCAAACGTGACCAACAAGAGAAAACGTGACCAACAAGAGAAAACAAAAGATCAAAAACAAAAGCCTTGTTTATGAGGCGTTCCATAGTTGACTCCACAAAATCTCGGTAATCCTTTCACAGGCTCATAATGTTTAAGTAAAATCATACTTATCGTAATAATTTCATGTCATAACGAAACGACCTTGGGTCCAACAGATAGCAGAACGACCTCAGGTCCAACGTATAACAGATGTACAGAATAGAACAAATCATATCTTAACAGAATGACCTCGGGTCCAATCATTTACAATTGTATAATGACCATTTGGTTAACTCATAGCAGATATTTAGACTTATCAGATATTTGGAACGACCTCGGGTCCATCTTGTCAAATATACAGAACAACCTTGGGTTCACTTTAAATATACAGAACAACCTTGGGTCCATTATACACATTTGTGTCACATCAATCACATTTATAGATATCATGTAGGTCGGACAGATAGAAACTTATTCACACTTGCAAAGTCACAAGTTCGAAAAACTTACCACATTAGGATATTCAGAAAATAGAGTAAATAAGAAAATATCTTTACTAAGATGTTACTTATAGTGTTCAAAGTGTTGTCATGCCTCTGTGATCTAACCTATATTACACACAACACATAACACTCATTTGAACATTTGACCAATTCGAATCATTCTTGCTTTACTTAATTCTTTTCACTCAATTTCTTACATATTAGGTCATTCATGAGGCCTAATTCATGTCTAAGAATGTTTAGAAATGAATGAGAATGCATACGTGATCAACATGTGTCTTTCAAAATATGTTGAAATATAGCACTTTGCTTGAGTGCAACATTGGTTGCTTGAGTGGACCACATGGTCTGCAAAAGTACTGGATGGTCTAAATCTAGGTTCGAGCAAGACTGGATGTTTGCTCAATCCAAGGTTCAAAATAAAAGGCAGTCGCTCAAGCGGTGATTTGGTCACTCGAGCCAACTGCAAATGTCTACAAAAACACTGGATGCATGAAATGTGCACTAGAGTGACAACTTGTTCACTCGAGCGATGAGGCCAAATTCTGGAATTTCCAGAACATAGGTTGAACTTCAAATCATGTGTTTAAAGTGCAAAAGCTTGCATGTTGGGATCAAACCTTTGAAAATACATGGAAATACATATATATGAACTTAATTTGAAACTATGAGCTTAAAAGTATCATGAATTGCCAAATTTGCAACCAAACTTCCATGCATGTATAACATTGTTTCCAAAGAGCTTTAAAAACATGTAATTGAGTTCTAAAACAACATGATTCATGGATGCATGTAGAATTGAACTTCTAAAATCAACATAGGTAATAAAACTCATGATCAAAATGGTGATTCTACACTCTTATGTGTATGTATGTATGAAATAACTTTAGATTCTTCATCTTAAGCTCATTTCTTGCATTTAACCTTTATGAATTCACATATTGATGACTTCAATTCACAAATTAAGGTGTAAACACCTATCTAGAATCTTCAAGAACACTAATCCTAGCAAGAACTTGAGTTGCCTTCCTGAATTCTTCAAGCCTTTAGCCAAAACTCCAAGTTCTCGTGCCCCCCCCCTCTCTCTCTCTAACTTGCTCTCATTCTCTCTGTAGAATGTAAATTTCAAAATTTTTGAGCTCAAGAATGAACTAATCTCATCACTTAACATATATATATACATGATTAACTTAATTCACTAATTAGGGATTAAGCTAGTTAATTAGATTTTAAGGCTTAATTAAATATAACTTAACTTAATTGATTTTATCTAAATAATTTAATCTAAATCAAATTTTAATCAAACTTTCCATTAGGCTCTAAAAATTATGCCAATCACAATAAACTAACCAATTTTGGTTTCTGACGCCTTTAAGGCCTTCAATTTCAGAATATAATAGAAGTCACAACAGATGTTCGTACAGCTAACAGATACGAATTCAAAAATCTTATGAAGCACATAATTAGCATTCAAAATTAATGATTAAAAGAATAATACGTAACAGGGTTGTTACAATCTTCCCTCATTTAAGAAGTTTGGTCCTCCAAACTTGCGTTACCTCATGTCGAGAATAACTCAGGATACCTTTGCCTCATTTCATCTTCTTTCTCCCAGGTTGCCCCTGTGCCATAATGCTCTTTTCATTCTACTTTTGCCATAGGAATTTATCTATTTCTCAACTGTTTCACTTGTCAGTCAAGGATTTGGATCGGTTTCTCTTCATATTCCATATTCTCATCGAGAGCTATCCAGTGATAATCAATAACATGGAACGAATCTCGGAGGTAGTCTCTCAACATCAATACGTGAAATACATTATGCATTTGTTCTATCCTCGGCGGTAGAGCAATTTGGTAAGCAACTTACCAAGCATTTCCAAAATTTGAATCGGCCTAATGTATCGAGGTGATAATTTGTCTTTCTTGCCAAACCTTGATTGACCTTTCATCGGAATCACATGAATGAACACACGATCACCAACTTCACACTCAAGAGCCCTTTTTCTATGATCCGCATAACTCTTTTGTCAGCTTTGTGTAGTTTTGAGCCATTGTTGAATAACTTTAATCTTTTCAGTGGTTGCTTGCATAATCTCGGGACCAAGCAAAACCCTATCTCCAACTTCCGTCTAACAAATTAGAGATCTACATTTTCTGCCATACAAAGCTTCATATGGTGCCATGCCAATACTAGAGTGGAAACTGTTGTTGTATGCAAATTCCGCCAATGGTAAGTAGGTTTCCAACTTTCTTGAGAATCTAAAGAACACATTCGGAGAATATCCTCTAAAGTCTGAATAGTTCTCTCTGATTACCTATCGGTTTGCTGATGGAAAGCAGTATTAAATCTCAACTCTGTTTCCATCACTCTTTGAAGCCTTTTCCAGAATCTAGACACAAATTTTGAATCTCTATCTAAAACAATGGATACCGATACTCCACGTAAACGAACAATATCATCAATGTAAATTGTAGCCAATCCATAAGCATCATAACTAGTCCTTACAGGTAGAAAAATGTGCAGATTTAGTTAACCTATCCACAATAACCCAGATAGAGTTCATACCTCTCGGTGTCCGA